AAGGGTCAAGAAAGGGGGAAATGTACCAGATGCCCAAGAATGAAATGCTTGAATTAAGACGAAATGTTTCAGTACTTCTTATTCAATGGTATTTGTAAATTCAATTCTACATGTTCTATACTTTAATAATGATGTCTTTGGCTGTGTATTGACAAGTTTTAGCTTGTCCTTACCCTGTAGTAAAAACAAGGTAGTTCAAGACAGCTGACTCCTGTCAACGGTGTAGAGTAAGCTACCTGGCTTACTACTGCCTTCATCAAACAGCCAGAACCTGGTGACTGTAACGGTAAGCCATTAGAGTCTGCAAGTTCAGAACCAAGCACAATTTATAGTAACTTGCTTGCATGCTTGTGTCTTGTATCGATGATGTTTGCAGCTACTATTCTATTTACAATTAAACAGGCTGTAAAGACAGTACATGGTATTAAGTTTTCTTGTTGAGAAGTTAAATAGTTTTCTTCTTTAAAGCGTCTGGTTTCTTTCTAATAAAAATGCTGAGTAAGCATAACTGTGATCTAGCAATTAAGCATAAAGCATAAATACAGGTCTTTACTGTGCCACACCAAAAAAACCCAACCGACTTTCACCTTCCAAGCTTGAAAACTATTTGTAAAAACATCTGAACAAGTATGTTTCCTCTACCTAGTCTCTTCATCTATTCATAATTAACCAGCATGGCTGGAACACTACAGGAATGTAACTTTTGTAGAAAGATAACCATCAGATGTTAACAGCAAATGGTAATTCTGTTTAAGGATTCTAGCAATTCGAAATTTGGGTTTGGCTCCTCAGAAGCACTCACTGAGCTAAGTGTAGTCCTTCAGTAAAATCTATTAATTTCTGCACATTTTTATTTTGATAAAAGTTCCTGAACAACATTTGAATTGGCAAAATCCCCCTCTAGCATCCACCATTGATTCTCTGAAAAAAGTTTACAAAGACTTGTGATGAGAGCATTTATTGTTAATTAGCTACTTAACACTTAACAGAGAACTGCTCTTGGAAAGAGACACTAAGAACAGAAGATTCCCTGAAACTTCTGTTACATAAAGTGTGAAGTTAAACAAAAACTTCTTTTTATCTATTTCACAACAAGTACTAATGGCAGAATCATAAGATGCCACTATAGAACTGATCCTGTTCTTAATAAACAACGTACTATTTTTTCAATACTTCCATCTACAACTGCCTCAACATAACATCTTTAGGCAAACCACCGAAAAGAAGTACCTCTGAGCCTACAGAAGTTTTCTTTATTGTTCAGAACTTCTTCACAGAACTCACATTTTCTTTTTTGAACCGGTTCCTGGGATTATTTAATTTATAGGGTGGCATCATCACACATCTGAATAATTTAGCCCCTACAGCATTTAGCTACTGAAACCTGGCAGTCAGCCTTTTTATTCAAAAACTTTTGGTCACCCATTTTTGTGTTACCCATACACATAGGTATAATTTGATTAACCATGTTACAGATCAGAATGCTAGATCATTGGAGAAGTTTTGTTTGTTTTTTTAAAAGCATCAGATACAATAGCATTAAGCGTCAGAAAGGTATTTTTCTACACTGGTATCTGTGCAACCCTCTCAGCCAGTGCAGTGACAGCACAAACTCCCAGGATCTTCTGTTCTTTTGTCAGTTTCCCACAATCAACACTTCAGAATAACTACATTTTGCATATGGATAATTTTTAATATGCAGAATAGCTAGGAACAAAGGTATGAAGCTTCCCTCAAATTAAACCAGGATAAACTAAAGCCTAGGAAGAATAAAAGTTTAGTGTCATGACTATTAAGTATAGACTGTAAACACAGGCATATACAAGAACAAGGCACAAAAAGCCTAAGCCATTTGCCACATTTTGTATGAACAGTACAGATTATAAATGCACACATTACGAAAACAGAAGTGTTTTGAGAATCACAGATGTGCTACAATTATAGAATAGAGCCATAAATTATTTAGCCACTTCATACACGATGTTTCCTCCCATGCAAGCAGTAAGAGAGGCTCAATATTCAAAGCAGTTTTAGACTATACTTGTCTGGACAACATCTTTGAAAACCAAGGTTTTAGAGAAGAAATAACACGGTTCTCTGCCACAGCAGCAACTCCAGTTAGAACGCACAAAAAGCTCCCCAAGCATTATGCATTATTTAGACATAAACCTCCCATCTACTTTCTGTAATTTAGCCAGAAGTAATCATCCAAGACACATGACTGTCTATGTCTTTCCTTTTCAAATGTTGCAATAACAGCAGAAAAATCTGACACGCCATCCAAACGCACAGCCAGAATATGGGATCAAAGTGGACACACGTCTCTTTTCAAAGATAGGCAGCTATGTATGTTACAGCAAAGAGTAAGTAAGGCATCTTCCATAGACTTTGGATCCTATTACCAGTAAATATTATCTGGACTCAAAAAGTGAGTTTTAACTTTTTTTCCAATTTATTAATCAACCCTAAACTTCCCTCACAAAGACTGAAGAGGTGGTTCCATGGTTTAACATGAAATATGAAGAGCCTTCTTCTCAAATGATACATCTTCAGAAACAAGAAGTTCCTGCATGTCATTTTGACTGAATTACATGACTTTGAAAAGGCTGAAATGATAGAATGCAGACTACTCAGGACTTTTGTTGTTGCTGGGCTGATATTTTTGTACATTGCCTACCGCCTCTTTAAATAGCGTAATCCTAGTGCAACTCTCATTAACTGGTGAATTAGTTCATTAGCCCATAACAAACAGGTTTGCACATTGGTACAGATTTTGTTCCACAGATGAAAAAACCAACTGGAAAACAACCCAAAATTCATTCTGAGAAAGTCACAAAATGACACCAAAAGGCCAGAAAACTTTTTTAAAAAAGTTCCCAGCTCTCAACGGTTATGCTTCAGCTACAGTTGTTTCCTGCTATATGCTTCCAAATACTCCTGTAACGGGTTTGCGTGGCAGGGTTTGGTAGCAGGGGGGTTACATGGGTGGCATCTGTGAAAAGGTGCCAGATGTTTTCCCTATGTCTGATACAGCCAATGCCAGCCAGCTCCAATATGGATCCCGTTGCTGGTCAAGGATGAGCCCAGCAGCAACAGTGGTAGTGCCTCTGGGATAACAAGATTTAATAAAGGGAAAAAAGTTACTGTGCAGCAGCAATTGCAGTCAGAGAGGAGTGAGAATGTGAGAGAGAAACAACTCTGCAGACACCAAGGTCAGTGAAGGAGGATGGGGAGGAGGTGCTCCAGGAGCTAGAGCAGCGATTCCCCTGCAACCTGTGGTAAAGACCATGGCGAGGCAGGCTGTCCTCCTGCAGCCCATGGGTGGTGGAGCAGGTATCTGCCTACACCCCGTGGAGGAACCCCTGCTAGAGCAGGTGGATGCCTGAAGGACGCTGTTGACCCCATGGGAAGCCCGCGCTGGAGCAGGCTCCTGGCAGAACCTGTGGCCCCGTGGACAGAGGAGCCCACGCTGGAGCAGGTTTGCTGGCAGGACTTGTGAACCCACGGGGGACCCATGCTGGAGCAGCCTGGTCCTGAAGGA